ACATTCAAAGGGTTTCTCTCCTGTGTGAGTCCTCTGGTGTTTCACCAGGCTGGAATTATAACTAAAACTTTTCTCACAGATAGGACATCCAAAGGGTCTCTCTCCTGTGTGAGTCCTCTGGTGTCTCACCAAGCTGGAATTATCACTAAAACTTTTCCCACAGATAGGACATTCAAAGGGTTTCTCTCCTGTGTGAGTCCTTTGGTGTCTGATGAGGTGAGAATTTCTAATGAAACCTTTCCCACATTCTTGACATTCATAGGGTTTCTCCATGGAGAGATTCCTCTGATGTATTACCAGGCTGGAATTCTCCCACAGTCAGGACGGTGAAAGGATTTTTCTCCTTTGTATATCACCAAGTTGGAATTACAACGGAAAGTTTTCCCACAGTCAGGACATTCAAAAGGTTTCCCTTCCGTGTGAGTTCTCTGGTGTCTCGTGAGATGGAAATTTCTAATGAAGTTTTTTCCACAACCAAACATTCCCACTGTTTCTCCCTGGATTCGATCTACTTATGTAACAGAATTACATAAGACTGGAATTGTGACTGAAATTTTTCTCATAGTCAAGACATTCAAATGGTTTATCTCCTGTCTGCTCTACGTGGCTTTACTATTGACCTTTTCCTCCCCACTGACTTCCAGGTATTTCTCTTTTTGCTAAATGAAATATAATCTCCTTTGACTTTTCATATAATATATCCTTGAGTTCTGCATAATCTGCCTATTCCAACTTGAAATTGTTCTTGATTTTCTCTCCTTTGTCTAATATCTCCTGGAGGTGGAGAAGAATTGTGTGGTTTTCTGAAAGAAATGGAAAATAGTTTGATTTCTGGCTTGATTTTTTTCCCCTTTTCAATGTCGCTTGTTATTTATAGTTGTCCCAAGTGCTCCTTTTGCCATCTTCTTTGTCTATAAGATTCAAAGAAAAGTGGAACTTTAATTGTTTATAAAATGACAGAGATGATATGAAAAAATAAAAAAATATATTACATAATATAAATATAATATATTACAATGAAAAAAAACAAACGTGCAGTCACTGAACAAGTGCTAGGATTACCACAAATTTTATAGATCAGGGGCATGTCTGCTTCTACTGTGCCATAATAACTTTGAAGTCTCAGGGAAGAAGTGGTAAGTGAGGACTACCTGTGCAACTAAGGTTGCCAAAAGGTCCTCAATAGCTATTTTTTTTAGAAAGTGCTGGATTAAGCACAATCTAATTTGGTTAATACATGGATGGGACAGGAAATACCATACTTATTGGCAAGACATGGAAATAAAAAAAAACCAACATTGAACAGTTGAACAGTGTTCCAATATTTGAGTTGGCATAAAGAAGAGGGTGTCGTCAACTTATTTTCCAAAGCACCAGAAGACAAGAAGCAATGGATGGAACTAATCAAGGAGAGAAGCAACCTAGAACTTCCTGTTAGGGGAAACTTCCTAACAGTGAGAACAATTAACTAGTGGAACAGTTTGCCCTCAGGAATTGTTGGTGCTCCATCACTGGGGGGCTTTTAAAAAGAGACTGCGTAGCCATTTCTTGGAAATAAGCAGGAGATTGGGACAGAAGCTTCAACTTATTCAGAATCCTCCAGTGATGGAACACCCACAAAATCTGGAGGGAAGCCATTTCCAAAGAATCCAACTTAACTTGAGACTTTTTAAATCTTCCCACCAGCAGAAAATTGCAGCCACCAGTTTCATAGCGTGCAGGGCCAGTGGGCTTATGATACCACCGTGCTGGGTCTTATTACAGGAGGGGGACAAGGAAGAAATCCAGAAGTTATGGTGCTCAGAAAACAACTTGCATCTAAACACCAGCAAGACAAAGGAGATGGTGTTTGACCTCCGGAAGCAGAGAGAAGAATGTCAGCCATATTGAGACCAGATGATCCCACACTGCCACATTTAGAGCCCGGGAAAGTAGAAGGGGATAATTTCTTGGGAGTGTATGCAGTTAGACATAACAACATTCTTTTTCTAATTCAAGGTCATGTTATTTTGCGCATAAGTGAGAGGAAGTCTCAAGTTGGGATGGATGGTGATTGGGCATGTGATGTGATGATGGGTAAAGGGGATGGATTGTAGTTTTTACTTATTGCAAGGAAGCCCAGAACTTTCAGATTCAGGATTCCCCAGTTGTGCCAGTTTACTATCCCAAATAAAAAGAACTTTTGAGAAGATGTCTGTCTTGGAGTTATTGGTTGGAGTGGAGGTTTGCTGGAACGCTGACATTATCCCAAATCTCTGAATAGCCTGAAAGGGGGCTGTCCGGGTTGCTGAGCCCCAGCACTGACCCAAAGCTGAAGTAGTGCGAAGGCTCAGTGAAGATGGAAGTAAAGGAGGAATCTACAGAAGGAGCAGAGGGAATGGCTACCGGAGGACTGATTGAAACCCCATGTCCTCCTTCTGAAAAATCTGTGCAAGCAGTTGAAGCTGCAGAGGAAAGATGGCGGCTAGGCCCTTGGCCCAAAGAAACGGATTCCTGGAAAAGCTGCCAGATTGAGCTGAATCCAGAGATAGGACCAAAGGAGAAGAGGCCTGAACACCTTTCCTACTCCAGCCCTGTGAGGTCAGGCCCCGAGCCAGAGTGGAGAAGCGTGGGGGCTTTTGAATCAGACAACGGGAGTTGGAACCTGTTGCCTCAATCCCGTAGCCAATCATTGCCAGAACTCCCAGAGCCATTTCAGCAACTTGAAGTGGGAAGTTATTTCTCACAGCAACAACCTCTCCAGTTGAGCTGGGCCTTAACTCAGCCTGCGTTCACTTTCCCTAGTCTTAGACCTGACAGTGGAACCAGCGTGGCGTCGGCTAGAGGTGGCCGAAGAATCAGCTAAGCACGGCAGGGCCAAGCATTTGGTATGGGCACATTACAAACCCCAATTCCTCCCCCTCCACAGCCTATTCAAGAGATTCCAATTCAGCCACCCCTCGGAGTACCCCTGCAGGGGACCCTCCTGCAGCCTGCAACAGAGGCACATCAAATTCCAGCTCAGCTGCCTCTCGAAGTACCCCTGCAGGGGCCCCTCCTGCAGTCCGCACTGGCACAACAATTTCCAGCGCAGCCAGCGGTCGCCATGGTGATTCCCCACCCCCACCAACCAGGCCAGACACACTAAGATTCCGAGCAATTTTTGACAGAAAACCTGAAAGACTTGCTTACTTTTTCAGCCGAATCTGGTTACATATAGATCAATTTGGAAACCAACATGCAACAGATCATGACCTAATTTCCGCAATTACAGATGGGATGAATGAGGGGGATGCTTTCACTTGGGTAGCCCAGCTACACTATGAGGACGCGCCCAAACTAAATGATGCTGACGCATTTGTTGAGCTGCTCAGGGCCAGATTTGAAAACCCTGACAGAATAGGTGAGAGTGAAGACAAAATAATGGAAATGAAGCAAGATAATCAACTTTAGACGGGTCGCAAGCAACCTCATGAATGATGCCTGCAGCATCAGAGGAATACCAGAGCAACTGCAAGATTGGTATGCCATGTCCATTAGGCTGGATAGAGAAATCACCCACACCAGTGGTCGCCAACCGGTGGGCCGCGGCCCACTGGTGGGCCATGAGAAAATTTTGGTGGGCCGCAGCATGCTGAAGCACGGAGGAGGGGCAATCTTGCAGTCTCCCGTGTTGTGGCTGCTGCCTCCTGCCTCAGCACACCGAGGCGGCTGAGCAGCAGCGGGAAGAGCACAGACCTCCTGAGGCGCAGGAAGCAGCTGCCCTCAGGTGAAGATGTTGCAAGGGGGAGGCTCGACCCCCTCTTCCTCCTCGCCAGAAGCGCTCACACGCTTAGCGGGAAGGAGAGGGCTTGTTGGGGGCCAGAGGGGCAGTGAGCACTTTGCGTGTGAGCGCTTCTGGTGAGGAGGAAGAGAAGCTCCTGGGGGAGGCGCAAGAGATCGCACCGTCCCCTCACAGGCCAGGAAACACCCGGGAAGAGCTCCAATGCCGCAATCTCCCACGCCCCTGTCCTCAGGAGCTTCTCTTCCTCCTCACCAGAAGCACTCACACGCTTAGCAGGAAGGAGGAGGATTATCAGGGGCCAGAGGGGTGGTGAGGGTTTTACGCTTGAGTGCTTCTGTTGAGGAGGAAGAGAAGCTTTGGGGGGGGTGGGGGGGTTTGAGCCTCCCCCTTTCAACATCTTCCCTTGAGGGCATCGCTGGCAGCTGCTCAACCTCCTCGACGTGCGGGTCCTTTCCCCTCACCCCCACCCCTTCGCTAATGCCGTGCAAATGCGAGTAGCATTTGTTCTCCAATCTCCAAGTTAGAGGAGCGACATTCAAACGTGGCTGGCAGCAGCCCCCTGTGGCTTCCTCGCTGCCTTTGGAACCAATTTCAAAGGCTGGGAGAGGACATCTCCAAGGCAAGAGGGGGTTGGGGCTCAAAATTAATTTATATATATTTATTAGTAGTCCTCGGGATTTAAAATTATGAGTTTGGTGGTCCCTGAGGTCTAAAAGGTTGGTGACCCCTGAACCACACCAAAAATCTCCCTCTGAGGGCCCTTCTATAAGAACTTTGGTCAGACGCTCTCTAACGAAACCTGCTGAAGCTTCTCCTACCCAATCTACGAGGATAATAAAGTGCTATCAATGTGGCCAGGCTGGTCATCAGGCAGCCGAATATCAGGCTCCTGCACTGGTTCCACAACCAAGGCCCAGTACAGCTGCCAGAGGCAGAAGAGCTCCACAGAAGCCTCCAGACACCAGCCAGTTTGCCAGACACACTGTAGAGGTTCCCCTTCCCACAGAAGAGAGCGAGGAATCTCCGGCCAAAGAAACCCTTCCCGAAAAGGCAAGTGAGGAAAAGGACCCCCATGGTGAGTGCTGCCATTCCCCCTTTTACAGTTAAAGTGAAGTTGGTGGTGCCTGAAACTGGGGAGGGCTGGGGAGTTAGAAGCAGTAACAGATACACGGTGTTCCAGATGCCTTATTGGGCTCCCTATTGTTGAGCAATTAGGGATAAAAACTAAAGCCCTAAAACGCCCAATCAAGTTTGAACAGACAGATGGAACAAATAATTGGAGGAGTCCCAGCCACCCAAATGACACAGTCGATCAGATTAGAAATGGGAAGGCATTCTGAACTTATACGATTTGTAGTGGCTCCAAAAATGTCAAAATCTATCCTGTTGGGACTTGCTTGGCTTGATAAATGGACCCCTACTATCAAATGGGAAGATGGATACCGGAAGATCATAATTGGTGTCGGCCAGTTGCCCCTGGTCCCTCCTGAAAAGAGACTGCCACCCGACAAGGGTCCACAACCAGAAGCAGCAGCCACCGTTTCAGACTCTCCTCTCCTCCTCTCCTCTTATCTTTTTATTATTAAATTCACTTATTATTAAACTTAATCGCTGCTCATCTCACAGTCTGAGGCAATTTTTGGCCTCAAAAATGGCTTTTGCCATTTTTGCCCTCATGTTAAGGAAGCAAAACAAGGAGGTTTGTCCCTCTTCTGTATTATCAGTCTGGACAGTGGGGCAAAATGGCAGCCATTTCCCGAAGTCCATCGCATGGCCCAGGGATGAATCCAGGGCCCACTGAAAATGTGGTTCCTTCCAGGATGCAGTCATGAGGCCCAAGAATGCATATCCTTCCTTCCCTCCCTCCCCAACATGAGGATTAGAGATCTTCCAAAGGTGAGGAGGAAGGTAGGAGGCCTAGTGGGGTGGCAGTCAGGCCATTTTCCACTTTTCTTTTCTCTCCACCTACAAATTTAATCCAGAGAAATATTTGAGCGAAATGAATCAGGCCAAAATTCAAACGATCAATTTCTTACCTACACTTTCAATGGGAGATCACAAATGAAATTCAACACTTCTCTAAACTCTTCAACTTTTGTCTCATGTGTATTTTCTTGTGTGCAACAAGAGATAATTGATGCTGGAAGTAATGTGCACAGACTGGACATTTCAAAGATTTCTCCATGGTGTGAATCCTCTGGTGTATCACTAGGAAGGAATTCTAACTGAAACCTTTCCTACAGTCAGGACATTCAAAGGTTTCTCTCCTATGTGGATCCTCTGGTGTCTCATAAGGTGAGAATTTTGACTGAAACTTTTTCTACAGTCAGGACATTCAAAGGGTTTCTCTCCTGTGTGAGTCCTCTGGTGCACTACCAGGGTGGAATTCTGACTGAACCTTTTTCCACAGTCAGGACATTCAAAGGGTTTCTCCCCTGTGTGAATCCTCTGATGTATTACCAGGTAGGAATTCTGACTGTATCTTTTCCCACAGTCAGAACATTCAAAGTGTTTTTCTCCTGTGTGAGTCCTCTGATGTTTCACCAGGCTGGAATTATCACTAAAACTTTTCCCACAAATAGGACATTCAAAGGGTTTCTCTCCTGTGTGAGTCCTCTGGTGTATCACCAGGTGAGAACTGCGACTAAAACTTTTCCCACAGATAGGACATTCAAAGGGTTTCTCTCCTGTGTGAGTCCTCTGGTGTTTCA